CTGCTGCTCAGCTTGTTCACATAAAAAAAAATTCTCAGATATTTTATGTTACATTCGTTTAAAAGTGTTCCACTTTTACTTTTGCTCATCATMGGGTCTGGTCTAAAATAAATAAAACAAAAGGCTAAAGGAGGAAGTTGGTTAACCTCCTGCAAACAGGAACCTTCTCACGTCCTGTTGAGTGTTTATAGACTTTGCCTTAATTCAGAGTGCTTATTCCCAGTTTGCACACACATCAGCCCCACCCTCATTACAATTATGAGCAATCAGTAAGACATTAGGGTGACACATTGGAAAAATACAAAGAGTTCTCCTTCTCCAACAATATTTAATCCAAACCTCCTGCTGCCTTCGGGTCAAAATCAGTTGGTATTTACTCGAGTTACTTTTAGGAGTATTTTTCTTCACTAATTTTTAATTTTACTTGAGTGATTTTATTATGAAGTATCACTACTCGAGTACATTTTCTGCAAACTCCACTTTGAGTAAATGAACCAAGAACAAACTTGTTTTCACCGAAAACTTCAAACACACAGCTGCAGTTTTTGTTTCATAATTTTCACATAAAAAAACAGGTTTAGAAAAARGTTTATTTTGCCTGAATTTGTTATTTAGTAATTCTGTTTTTTTATTATTATTATTATTTTCATTTCGATCTTTAAAATACCCGAACTTCCACGTAGCTTTATATTTTGGTCCATCTGATGTATTTTTTAAATATTAAATGATTGATGTCTTGATCAGTTACTCAGTACTTGAGTAGCCTTTTTACCAAACACTTTTTTTACTTTTACTAGAGTCATTTCTTGGATGGCTACTTTTTACTTTAACTTGCGTAAAATATGTTAAAGTACTGCCACTCTTACTTCAGRAGTTATTTGATAGCACCTCAGGTCAAAATGAATGAATGAACATTATTATGTATGCACGTATCAAATATTAAATCTAAATGTAAAAGTTAATATTAAATGTTAAAGTTCGCATTTATGATGTCATCATCCTGAGACAAAAGCAGCTGCTAATGTTTCCCTGCAAAACCCTGGTGTGGCCCTGGTGTTCAAGCTGAACTTCAAACTGACAGACCGTAGAGGGGCGGGGTGGAGCTAGAGGGGCGGGGCGGAGCTAGAGAGGCGGGGCGGAGCTAGAGAGGCAAGGGCGGAGCTAGAGATGCAGGGGAGGAGTTTGAGAGGCGGGGCGGAGCTAGAGAGGCGGGGCGGAGCTAGAGAGGTGGGGTGGAGCTAGAGAGGCAGGGGCAGAGCTAGAGAGGCAGGGGCGGAGCTAGAGAGGTGGGGTGGAGCTAGAGAGGCAGGGGCAGAGCTAGAGAGGCAGGGGCGGAGCTAGAGAGGTGGGACGGAGCTAGAGAGGCAGAGGAGGAGCTAGAGAGGCTGGGGAGGAGTTTGAGAGGCGGGGCGGAGCTAGAGAGGCGGGGCGGAGCTAGAGAGGTGGGGTGGAGCTAGAGAGGCAGGGGCAGAGCTAGAGAGGCAGGGGCGGAGCTAGAGAGGTGGGACGGAGCTAGAGAGGCAGAGGAGGAGCTAGAGAGGCTGGGGAGGAGTTTGAGAGGCGGGGCGGAGCTAAAGAGGCAGGGGCGGAGCTAGAGAGGCAGAGGAGGAGCTAGAGAGGCTGGGGAGGAGTTTGAGAGGCGGGGCGGAGCTAAAGAGGCAGGGGCGGAGCTAGAGAGGCAGAGGCGGAGCTAGAGAGGTGGGGTGGAGCTAGAGAGGCAGGGGCAGAGCTAGAGAGGCAGGGGCGGAGCTAGAGAGGTGGGACGGAGCTAGAGAGGCAGAGGAGGAGCTAGAGAGGCTGGGGAGGAGTTTGAGAGGCGGGGCGGAGCTAAAGAGGCAGGGGCGGAGCTAGAGAGGCAGAGGCGGAGCTAGAGAGGTGGAGGCGGAGCTAGAGAG